TATTCAGGCGACTCTTAAGAAACGGCAAAGTAGGAAATATTCGGAACTACCGGACCACGAATACAAAAAGTTCAGCAAAAATTAATTGACGTGTTTAACAGAACAATAAAATTGTATAAACGAACGCACCATGTAAAAGACATGCAGAATGAAGATGAAGCTTATACATAGCGAAGTATCATAAAAACGAAACTGGACATGGAGGAATTAACGGAAATTATGAAGGACTGAAAACCTTAATTTACTACGAGGATCTAAAGAAGTTAATACAAAAATATATAAATAACTGCGAAATATGCAATCAGGCGAAATACGACCGAAAACCTATTAAGGAAAAATACAAGCTAACCGAAACACCGATGGATATTAACCAAATAATACATATGGATGTTTACACCAACAAAAAACATAGTTTTATCACTTTTATTGATAAATTTTCAAAATATGCAATGGCACTAGCCTTAAAGATAGAAACAGCCTCACAATCGTAGAAAAAATTAGACTTTATCTCTCTCTCAGAGGTAAGCCAACAAAAATTATAACAGACAACGAATTTAACTCAGTAAACATAAAAGAACTCTTAAGACAAGAATCCATTGACGTTCATTTTACAAAACCAAATAATCATACAGGAAACGCTGCATGGTATAAATAAAGTTAACAACGAAATACAAAGACATATTCAATACACTGACCTTACACTAAAACTAAAAGTTATACAGGACAATATCGAACACATTAAGGAAAACATAGCTGCATCAAAGCTAGGATTTTTTTACGGAAACATGTTCACAAAAGAAGAAATAACTAAGTGCGGAATAGATTTCAATAAACTGCAATATATTAAATTGGGAACTCTTATTGATAGCCATGGGAATATAATATTCACCATTAAAATACCAATAGATTCTATCCCTCTTACAATAAACTTTCCTATACCCATTGGAAACGAAAATAACAAGGAACTCTTTGAACCCCAAATTACATTATATTATAATAATAATACCTATATTTACGAAAGTACTATCGAATTGAAAAAACTAAAGCCGTTAAAAACTGCTTAATAAAGGAAAATTGTATACAAATTTTTAACAATGCATCAGAAATTATATAGATAAAGCCAGGAATTGTACTCATAAAAAATCAATCACTTTTTTAATGATTGTAACAACAGAACACAAAAACTAACTGGAAACTATTTAATAAATTTCAATAATTTATATAATTAATAATTTAAGCAAAGTTTCGCTAGTTTTAATCACATGCAAATAACCAAAAGTAAAAGCGAAAAACTAATATTTGAAGTCATTGTACTAAGTAACCCAAAAAATAAGGCATTCATAGATGAAATAAGCTATGTAAGAAAAACGCATTATAGAATATATACGGCTCCATATTAACTTTCATTTTAATCGCCATTGTATCAACAATTGTACTAAAGAAATTAAAGAGCAAAAATAACAATGTTAAAAGAACCAACATGATCACCCAGGAGAATGCTCAATCAAGGGGAGGAGGAGTTACGTCGCCGTCGTTGCAAGCCAAATGGCTGCCGACGTCGCCGTCATCCAACTTCCACATTGATTGGTCTGCATAAAATGCAACCGAAGCATATTTAAACACAAGTAACACAATACCTACCATATTTCATATTTTTGCATATCTCTTTCCTACGGTGGTCATGTTACGAAAATTGCAATAATGCTCAACATTATGAAATGCCAACTAAACAAATTTTGTAAATGAAAAATTAGATAAAGAAATTTCAATTTTATCACTACTGCTTACATTTGTCAACATTTCTTCTAAAGTATCCAACATGTTCAGTCACTGGAAATCTCTACCTAATTGTAAATATTTCCAGAACATACTTTTTAAAGCATCGGTTAGGTATTGGACTATCCAGTGACTGCAAATAACCTATTTGTATGAATATATCAAATTTTTTGACGACACGGTTTTCCAACAATTAATAAGACATAAGAACCGCGGTTATTATACAAATTGTAAACAACCTCCATTTTATTTAGGACTCCTAATATCGAAAAATAAAATTATGAAATTCATACACATTGTGTGAACATTTCATTGTGATCGAATTTCACAATATATGTATATATACTCCTAAATACACACTTCTATTTTTAACCAAAAAAAAGTGGATTATTGAGAATAAAGTACTCTACCGAAATGTATTTTTAATAAATAAGCCCAAAGATTATTTCATAAAAATGAAGTGTGCAAGGTCAGTCTTTCAATTTAAACTAGGGAAGAAAAGTAGATTTCAGGGGAAAAACTATCGAGTGGTCCAACTATCGATAATTTCGTAGATCTAATATAGGCCACTACTAAAGGCAAGCATAAGACAAGACCGTTAGTTATTGAGGATTTACGAGTACATGAAATTTTCGTCGCAAGTTTATATACAAACAGGTTCTGAACCCCAGAGTACAAATTTTGCAAAATTTTCCAATTCCTGCTATGGTACAAAACACACCCAAAGGAAAAATATGTAATGGCTGCAAAATTTTCTACTTAATTGGGGGGCAACAAAGCGTAGCAAAATAATTGCAACCCTGTGCTAGCTGCCATTATACATATACACACATACATTTCGCTGATATTTTAGACTTTACAATTAATTGTTCTCATATTCTTGCATATTTTGGCGTTGGATTTGGAAGTGCAAAAGAACACCTCTATTATCATATTGTTAAGTTTCATGTATTTAGTTTTGTATAACAGCAGTTTCTAATGATTGCTTTTGAGTATTTTCATACATTTTTTTTATTAGAAGAGTAAATACATTTAATAACATTAAATTGTATATTTCGATACTGTTTTCAATACGATCTAATTACTGTGAGATGCGCTCTGGGTATTAAATAAATTGATTTGACCTTCGACTTCAGCTTTGTGTAGTACTTGTATTTAAAGCAACGTTGTACAGAACTAAAATAAGCCTGTAAGATTTATTTTTTCAGTGACAACTCTCTCTTATCTCCATTTAAATTATTATTTTGTTGTCAACTGAAGATTGCTTACAATTTTACTGTAAGTGGATACAAGTTATTCAAAATTTAAGGAAAATTAAGGAATTTATATAAAGAAAAATCAAATTAATTCGAGTTAAGTTTACGAAAAACGGCTATAATGTTTAAGGCTGTTTAAATTTTGTTTCAGGACAAAGTTGTTTGATGAAACGAACATTATGCATATCTGTATTTTCCAGCTGATTATAAACACTACTTATGTATATACGCAAGTTTCGTTAATTGCTAAAATACTGAATTTTTTATTCTGGATTCTTCTATGAGGTATGGCATTTGCCTTTGGAAAAAAGCTGTTTATATTTATGTATGCTAATGTTAATATTGTTGTTTATTATATATTTCAATTGAAGTATTATTTAATATGATTAGGATTTAGGTAATGAAGTTTACAGAATGTTCAATCGCATGTAAGTTACTTGAACAGGTGTATATATATATGCATAAATACTTATTGTTGAACAGAATAATTACATTATATTAATAAGTTCCAGTTAAGTTATATGTATAGAAATTGTAGTAGTGTAGTTATTAATTATATAATATAGTTATCATATATTTATTTTTGTATACATGTATTTTGTATGTCCTCTATATACAAAATTTTGTGTTATCTAGCAAAAAGTGGAAATCTAAGTGACTTAGTATGCTTTTTATTCGGCACAGGCTATTCGCTCTATATTAATTTGAAATTGTAGCCCTAGTCTAGCTGTACAATTGCACAAAATGATTTTAAAGTATGTTCTACGGATTGAATGACCCAAACTCTCGCCAACAGTCATTTACGAAATATTTTCTTTATTGAATATGCTATTCGAAGCATCTACATAGTATTATTTTCATTTTTTTTTTTTAAAAAAGTATACAATACGAGACTATGTGTAACAATTTCTTCAGCCCATTGAATGAAATTATTTAGTATAGAAAATTTGTTATAGTTAAGTTAGTAAGTTAATTCTAGAAGGTGTACAATATTAATGATAATTGAATAAGTCTTGTTGAATTGTATGAGGATATTGAAGAGAAATATGTTATAGTGCTGGGTTGATGATTAAGATGACTATTTCAAACGTTATTATATAATATTTAAAATCTAATGTTAAGTAATCTATGATATTGCTATTGAAGAACATGAACTATTAGAAATATATCTTGTGCACCCTGCCGTGCAGAGGTTCACGTATTTGCAAGAAAATATTTGTATAAAGAAGTCTGATTTAAGAAAAGTCCTCTGCGATAAGTTGCCACTTTAAATGCTTATAGTGCGTATTTATGAATTGTTGTGATGGGCTCATTGTAACGATTTTAGGGAAATCGGGATTCGATTGATCGAATCGTCTCAAGAAACCAAGGAATCTCTTTTTACCAAATATTCTAATGAGTTCTTATCTTTGGTCTGTGGAAATGTTAACATATAGATATTGTTAAAATGGAATGAAAATAACTTCTTTATATTAAAAGAAATAATGTCTATTTTTCTATGGTAGCATTACATAGTATTTCAAGACCACTGTGATGATCGCAATGATTAGTGAAAAATTTGGCTCATTGGAAAACTCATAAAAAGTGTATGTAGCTAGGTTCCCACCCTCGAACGAAAAAAAAAATATTATTGCCTCACAGGGTACAAATATTATGGGTGTCTAATGACCCTTCAGGTACTTTTGCTTTTCATTGCTGTCCTCAACAATATATTATGGTAAGTTATTTTCAACGTTTATTATTGGTAAGTATTAAAAAATTAAGCAGAAAATTTAATTTGTAACATTGTTGTAATGACACTTCATTGAAATATTTCAGAAATAATGAATTCATTACGAATATGTATTGCGAGCATCCTCGAAATAATATATATATGAAATATTTCTTAAAAAAAACTATGAAATATATATTATGTAATATCTTAAATATTTAGATGTATTGTGTAATTTATATTTAATATAGAGTGAATCATGTACTTTAATTATTAATTAGTTTATGAGATTTGTAAACAAATTTTATTTACATATAGTGGAGATAGAATTTCGTCTCAATTGTCTTACAAAACATTAGCACGTATTTGTATTGTAAAATATGCAGGTGTGCACATATGTAAATATGTACCCTAGAGACTAGTTTGCTAATTGCATACTAACAACTAGTCAGCTAGAATTTGCCTTATCAATTATATATCAATTGACAGATTTTGAAACATACCAACTTGATACTAACAAATATTACAGATATTGAAGTCAACTTCTGGTTTGGGTGTGAAAAGTAAAAATAAATAAATAAAATTAAAAAAAGGGCAAAATTTATATGTTAAAATATTTTAATTTGACAAACTCAAATTTTCTATTGATCTGGAAAAATAGCAATTGCAAAATGTCTAGCATTTTCAGGAAGAGTTAATTTTTAGCTCATTAAATGAGTTTGCAAATATTGATTTTGACTACTTCTGATAACAGGGTATACATGTACAATGCATATTTTTTATTTATTAGGGTGTGATTAACTTTCGCAAATACGTATCTATGTATATGTATGTAGTATTTCAAAAGACAACGTTTTATTTTATTTACATATATGCCTTTCTTCTACTTTCTCCCTGAGCCAAGTGCATTATCTAAATGTACATAGTGTTGATGAAGTTCTGATTGTTATTATTTGAATTCTTTTTGTCAGTGGGAACGCGCATAAAAAAGAAAACATGAAATACCAATGTTGAGGGTTATCAAACACAATGCCTAATGTGAGGCTAAAAAATTAATTTTATACAATTGGGAAATAGTATTGGAGAATTTAGGAATAAGCATATATATGCATATAAACTATTAATCAGTCAATCATATCTAATATTACAAAGTCAAAGTGATATAGTAATAATATAATATTGTTTAATATGTATAGAAATTAGACCTCTTGGTTTGTTAATTCATATATATTTTAATTTCATCAGCTTTGGTCGGAGCGGTATTTTTTGTAATTAAAAACATCAATACATTAATTGTGAGCGATAAGTTCTCAACTGGTAAACTTTATGAGTTGTACAGTGCAATACTAATTTGTAAAAGTTAATTGATCTATTTTATATGATATCTTTTATTTGCTACTTAGTAATTTTCGATTATATTGAAAGTAACGTATGTATATAAGTCCATCTCATCCCCACATATTTATGAAAAATAAGTTTTCCCTCTATTTACACTAGTCATCATATATTTTTTCCTTTATTAATACTGATTATTTACATATGACTATGTGCAAAAACGATTTACATATTATGTGGTATACATATGTGTTATGCCCATGTTTAAAGATGTTTTTGTAACTAATAATTTATAAAGAGAATTAATAAAGATTTTTTAATGAAAATAAATGTTCTTTTATGAAAGTACCAATCGTTGACTATCGAACAAAATTATTTGCGTATGTACACAAAACTATTTATAGATCCTTTCTTAAGTATTACAAGCTCCACTCAAGCATTCATTCATATAAATATAAGTCCAATACAAAAGCAGCACGAAAAATTGCATCATACAGACCTCTTTCAAATTTATTTCTAATCCTTTGCATACTTTCATAGTTATATGTGTTTGTGATATCATAGAAAAGCATGAAAAAGCTTATAACGTAAAGTTGTAGGGTTGGGAGTATATTTTCTTCGATGCAGCTTCGTCTTAGAATTAAAGTACGTATGAATTAGAATTTGCAATAATATGTCTTGCTGCTGTATATATTTGTATTAAAATTTTTAAATTAAGTTGATTCAGCACAACCAATATTTTACAAGAATACATATATACGTATTTTATTCGAATGTTAGGTGCATATCTTCATGGGCAACCACATTCATCTACTACCATCTTTGGAAGATCCCTTTTAATAATGCCATCGTCACCATAGTATATAAGAGACATGCTTGAAAATTTTACTGGTGCACAGCAGGGCTGCATGCCATTCAGAAGCCCCATTTTTCTATATTCTTCTATAAAATGAGCGTGAAAAGTTTGAAATGTATCAGGAGTGCGAAAGGGACCTGTACAATCTCCTCGACAGTAATTAGCAAAGTAGCCACGTGGAGCAATGATCCAGTCGTCCCAACCCAATGCCTTGAAAGACACATAAAACGATTCCTTGCAGCACTGACCATGTATTGCACCAACACAATCAATTGCACGTCGTCGTACACGTCGAAGACGTCTCGTTTCTGTACGCAATACCAGAAATGGTCGATTAGGACTTAATTCAGATGAAATTGGACTTTTTAAGTGCGTATACTTTTGCGGTTGTGAATTAACGTTCGGTTTGCCTTGGACCAGAGGAACTTGTGGTTGCAGGCGGTTAGACTGATCTGAATATCCTAAAAATACATGCGGCCTAAATAATTTTGTGCGAACGTTATTCAATTTATAGTTGCCTACGTTTGAAGTGAAATTTTTCTTAGTATTGCAGTTAAAAATACTATTACATAACAAAGAAATTTTTGCTTTTGGTCGCTGTTCTACTCGCTCTTTAACATCACTATGTCTTTCTGGTATAATATTACGGTTCAAACGTGGTTGCCTCCAGTGTACTACAAGATCATTACGTTTCACCGAACGGTATCGTTTTTCCTGCTGGAGATATAATAGTTTCTGTTTCGAATTCTCCAATGGCTGATTAAACAAATGTAAAATATAATGATTGCCACAACCAGTACAATCTATAAGAAGTCGCAGTTTTTCCGTCGGTGCTCGTGTGTACCAGTCCCGGACTGTAAGTGTTATATCAAATTTTTGCCAGCCTAAGTTCATTATATCCACATCGTATGTAACACAAAGTTGAGGAGAATTATCGCAGTTCTTTAAAATAAATGTAAGAATATGTTTTAGTTATAATCAAAATAATAATATATATTGCCCGTCACCAGGTTAGCATAAAAAATTTCATATTATATGGTTTTTAGCTATTTTCTGTTCTTTTTAGTCGAAAAATTTGCTTTATTTTATTTTATTACAATATTGTTTAAATCGGATTACAGTCGAATTAAAAAGAGCGGTAACAATAAAATGATTTCCGATGTTAACAAACACACAGTCTGAGAGCTGACTGGCTGTATGTTGTTGTTTCAGATGAAAAAGTAAATAAATTTTGAAGGTCCAATGGACGCAATTATTATTTCTATTATCTTTTGGACCGACAGTCGTGTGAGTGATGTAGGGAACTATATTCTAATATGTTGGGGACGAACAGAAATTTTTTAATACTAATACAGTATTCCACTAAAGACTAGGAGAAAAAATATTTAAAACAAGAAGAGCTAAGTTCGGGTGTAACCGATTATCTTATACTCTTGCAACCTACAAGAACCAAAGCTAGGGAAATACGTCATGATGTAAAACATCAACGTGAGTATCGAAATCCAAGCATTTTTATATACACCTATACTACATATAACTCCTATACTGACAGACACATAAATTTGTGAAAAAACGAAGACTATTATATGTAGTATATGACAGTTGGTGTAGTATCGTCCACATTTTATCTATTTCCCTCAATACCACAAAATATTAACAAGTCACATACTAAAAACCCTATTATAATGAATAAAGTTAGCCGGATTCAGAAGTTCTATTATCATAAATTAAGTATATGGGGGCTAAGGAAAGTATCAGCCGTACCATTATCAGAAAAGTACTATCCCAGAATTTCAATTATATATCTCACACATTGACTGATATTTTCGATCAAAAGTCAACTATAGATACTGGGGTCTAAATATTCGATACCTAGGGGTTTAATCATTTTTTTTTTTGGATTTAAACAAACTTTGGTCATAAGGTGGCATACACCAAAGACGTTATTCGTGCATAGTTTAATCCTGTTATTTTAATTGGTTTTCAATTTTTGCACTGGAAAGTATCGGGTGATTTTTTTGAGGTTAGGATTTTCATGCATTAGTATTTGACAGATCACGTGGGATATCAGACATGGTGTCAAAGAGAAAG